TGGACAGACAAAAAAAAGGAAAGATATGTATTAATTCTTTGTCTGTTTTAACTCACCTTGACAGCACATCCATTCTTTAACTTGCATTGAAGCCTATTTCCTTAGGCTTCACTAATACACTGTGGTTCCAAGTCAATTCAATTTCTATACTTTTAAGTTCTAATTTTCAATTTATATTCTACACATCTGAAATATTCTTAGCAAATACTTCAGTACCAGGTCATATACATTTGCAGAAAATATTTTTAATATTGTATAAAGCTAAAGAACATGGGAACAGTAAAACATCAGGTTGGATGTTATTTCTGATGAAAAATTTATGAAATATTAATAGCCCTTAGATACATGGCAAGATTAGGTTATTTGTTTGGATCAAGTTGATAGGTACTTGTTACTTAGTGGAATGCTACCTATTTATTCAATCTAGTATGCATTCATTCTTTAATCTATTAAATTCCAATATTAAATAAATTGATGATTAACAGGGAAACACAAATATCAATTTTCCAATCACCAAGGAAGGAGAAAGTAAACTCAAGTTCTAAAGCCACCATTTAGAACTGTAGTTAATGGACTGAATGATAGTGCTAGGAAGATGGCTCAGTGGTTAAAGAACACTGACTATACTCTTCTAGAATATCTGGATTTAATTCTTAGCACCCTAATGGTAGATCACAGCTGTCAGTAGCTCAAGGTCTATGGGTTCAGACACCCTCACACAGACATCTGGCAATACTGGTATATTCTTTTGTAATGTTTGGAATGTCAGGTATTTTCCATTAGTTGCTGGCCTGTCTTTGGGTGGATCCTTGAATGGTGTCAGTTTATGGATCCAGTTGTTGTTTACCAGTAAGCCTGTCATGGCAGCAGTACCTGGTTCCCTAATCCTTTCATGGCAGCTGTGTAGTCAAGCTCTTTTGGGCCCCCTATACCCTTCACCAATATCTTTTAGGCTTCCCAATAATGGGGATGAAATGCTGCTACTGTCTACTTCTGGGTTGTACCTGCATAATGTACAGGACCATCAACTGACCCAGGTCTTCTCTTACTCTGTCACCCAATCACAGTGAATACCCCATGATCCTATAGGTGCATACTTGACAGCAGAAGGCATTGTAACAGGAATAGAGACCATAGGCACTTGGGCAAATTCTTCATGTAGCTTTCTTGTACCTTCAAGACCTGCTTGGGCCCAAGCCAACTAACAAGCTTCTCCTTTGTGGGCTTAAATCTCTCTTTAGTTGTAAATGTTCTGGGTGCCCTTCCATATGAATGGCAGGAAATCACTCCTCCTCACACAGTAGAGTGGGCGGCACAAGCTAGCTAGCCACATTGTGTCCATGAGAATGAAGAGGAAGTGCCTATGGAGAGCAGGAAGATCACATAGTTGGCTATTGGAGCCAGGGGCAAGTGCTATTGAAATGTAAATCTCTGCTGCTTCAGAAAAGGTCTGGGCTTAGGGTGGAAGGCAGGACAAGGAATGTTTGTGATCTGTCTTTAAGCATAGTGTAACCATATGGGGGACGCTCTAGTCAGTCAGGCCCCACTAGACAATTAGGCTCTCCAGGCTACCTGCCAGTCAGAAGTTTTGCAGGGTCCTTCTAGTTACCAGCCTCAGTATTGGCTTTGAAGAGAATCTGTCTCCATTAGTTTTGTTTGCTGTGCAGCTCGAGTATTGCTGCAGGGAGCTGAGCAGGGAGCATGGCCAAGCTGGAAAACCACAACATGGTGAGTGAGGGGCTGCCATCCCCGGACTCAAAGGAGTGCTCCTTTGAGTCATGAGAGTCAGTGTGTTGGATCCTCTTCTTGCTGGGTGGGAGCAAGTGGTCAGATGTAGAGTTCAGCTTATTCTTGCCTTGTCATGCATTGTCCAGCATGGTCCCGCTCATCCTGCATGCTCCAGTGAAGATGTTTGTTGTCCTGCATGGTTCTGCATAGTCTTTGCAATTCTGGAGGCTGGCTGACTGCCTCTGAAAAACTTCACTCTCCTGGCTGAATCTGTAAAGAGCATTGGGAACAGGACGATGCTTTGAAATGTCCTTGTTAACATAAATGTGAAATGCTGGCACCACACATGTATTGTTTCTATGAAACACAGATATCCAAAGTCAAAGAGGCCTGGTTTCTCCCTTATCTTCCAGAAGTTCTACACTTTGAACATTTAACATTAAGATTTAGAATCCAACTGGAATTAATTTTAGGAGCTTGTAAACAGTATTTCCTGTGTAAAGTTGCACTTCTTTGCTAAACTGTGATGTAGAAGATTAGAATTGATGGTGGTAGAATTGATGGTATGTGGTTTTTATAGTTCTTAGGGGACATTAAGTCACAAAGTAGAATTTAGGTAAGATAGGGCTGCATCACAAATACCCCAAAGATAAGTAGTATGCTAACCATGCTGGTTAGACCTTAGTATGATAAGATGTAAATGTTTGTTCCCCAAGGTTAACCAGCTATATTCCATAACATGGGAGACAACCCTGGTTTACAACCAGTAGAAAGGCCCATCTTTCCATTGAAAAACTGGCCTCTAACATGTGCCTCAAGAGACCATAAACAGGGTCACAACCAACATTAATTTCTGGTATTCCATGGAGTTATATTAATTCTAGAACAGAGGCATTTCCAGTCTTTTTGAAAAGCAGTTTTAAGTCAAGGTCTCCTACATTGCTTGAGGTGAACTTGAACCCTGTCTGTAGCCCCACAGAGCATTGTCTTTATTGTCTCCTGACTCATCACCCTAAATTTTGGTTTTCATGTCTGCACCACCACAGAGTTCTAAAATTACCAGTTTGAGTCACATAGTGAATTGTCCACTGCACAACAAGGAAAGGAAATGTGGGTGGAAAATGGCTTCTTCCTTCAGACTAGAAGAGGAGGAAGAGTGGAATTGGCCTGCAGAAAGGAGTAGGGCCTGCAGGCAGGGCATGGGACACTGAGTACACAGCAGGGGCCATTAGATTAGGCAATAGATTGATCACAGACTTAAGTTTAGTGCAGTAAGATACAGGGTCTCCATTACAAAGAAGGACTGATGGGGTGTGGTGAGTGACTTTCTCTGTAATTTCCCGCATGTATTAATTCCTTCCATGTGAATGAAGTCAGACACTATTGGCTGGTGTACAGTTTATGAAGGATAGCTTGAACTACTAAGTATTCATTTTCCAATTAGGGAACTCTCATATGCAGATATATTCAATTCTGGTTGACACAGTTAAATCAGCTGAGAGGATTGAGATACAGGCCATTTTCTGTTAGCTTACTGCAGTCAGTGGGTAACATTTTACATGGGACAAAATCATACAGTCTCATATTAATGATATTCACTCTACCTTCGAGTAGAATGGAGGTGCCTACTCCATTTCAAAGTCAGTATAGCCACATATGCTTTCAATTGTTTTTATCATTTTAAAACATCAATTATTGTTATTATTTTTAATATTCATTTTCTTTTAGTGCATTACTAATTGTTTTTTTCTGTTTTTTCTATGTTTCCCAGTTTAAGATTTTTTTCCATTTTTTATCTGCTGTTTGTTTATGAATTTAATTATATCAGTGCTTCTCAACCTTGGAGGTCATGGCTCCCTTTCGGGGATCAAATGGCCCTATCATAGGACTGGCCAAAGACTGTCAGGAAGTGCAGATATTTATATTATAATTCATAACAGGAACAAAAATACAGTTATGTAGTAACAGTGAAAATAATTTTATAGTTTGAGTGTCACCACATCATGAGAAACTATATTAAAGAGTCACAGCCTACCACAAAAAAGAGAAATAAAGGAAAAAAAGAGTTACAGCATTAGGAAGGTTGTGAACCATTGGTTCAGGTCATTATCTCCTGTAGCTCAGGCTTGCCTTACATTATGTAATTGAGATTGCTTTGTGATATTTATTTACTGTGTTTTCATGTGTGTAGTTATCTTCCTTAGTTTGGGTATTTTCTTCTAAAAACCTCCTGTAAGGCTGGATTTGTACAAAGATGTTCGAATCAGGCCAAGAAGGAGCACGTGGCCAAGAACGAGCTGAACCGGCTGTGGAACCTGGCCCAAGCGCACAAGACGCAGATGCCCAGCTCAGCCGGCCTGCACCCCACGGGACACCAGAGTAAGGAGGAGCTGGGTCACGCCATGCAGGTGGCCAAGGTCTTCACTGCTTCGTGGGGTGCTTCCAGGAACTCCTCCCCAAGGAGAAGGCGCCCCGGGGCACCGGCAAGAAGAGGAAGTTTCAGCTCCTCTTTGGGGACTTTGCAGCCGAGAAGAAGAACCAGTTGGAGCTACTTCGAGTCATGAACAGCAAGAAGCCTCAGCTGGACATGACGAGGGCCACCAACAAGCAGATGAGGGAGGAGGACCAAGAAGAGGCCGCTAAGAGGAGGAAAATGGGCCAGAAGGGCAAGAGAAAGGGGGCCGGCAGGGACCTTCGAACAAGAGGAAAGGTGGTCCGCCGGGCCAGGGAGAGAAGAGGAAAGGAGGCTTGGGACGCAAGAAGCATTCCAGGCCTCCCCCTTTCGGTGGCAAGAAGAAAGGTGTGCCGCACCAAGGTGGGAAGAGGAGGAAGTAGTATTCTCTCCACTGGACCTGTTCTGCAACGCGAGGACTGTCTGAACTAAGGGTTAAGTTGTGCGCACCGCAGGCTGTTGCATGGGGAGGCCGCTGCCCCCACTGAGCTTGAGATTAAAGGGACCGGTTTGCCTCCCCTCAGGAGAGTCAGTGCTAGACTACGAATAATCTTTTCTCCACAACAGAGACATTGGCTGGAAATTAAGGGCATATTTTGAGAAATAATGTGGTCAGAATCAGGAGTAAGTTAACCGCCTGCTTTTTTTTTATCTTGACTTTGGGTAAGAGTTGATCAGATTTCTGGGGCATAGTAGATTGGTGTCAACATTTTTGCATTATTTTTGTAAGAGAGCTTGTGTATTTATCAAGGCAGGGTGAATGGGAAAAACCAAGACTATCTGTGGTTTACAAGTGTTGTAAAGGTTGCTTAATAAAAGTATGTCGGTACCTGGCGTCCCTTTGAACTTTTATCGTCTTTGCATAAAAAAAAGAAAAGAACTAGGTGAATGAGAACCTAGATGGGGCAGAACTAAGATGAGAGAATTAAGATAGAATTTAGAGGTGACAGCACATAAATGTAGATATAAATCAGTCAAGAAAAATGCTAGATGAGAGAGCAGAATAGAAGCAGTACAAACAAAAGTTGACTCAGAAGAATAAAGTGTATGGAATGAAAAGTTTTGTATACATGGATTCATTTCCTGTCATCAAAGATTAAGTTACCCACTGGCTATAGATTCTTCCTGGACCCTGGAGTGAGACTATTTGAGGAGCTGGACCCACATAGTCCCTGAAACATGATGTCCCAGATTACATTGTGTCAAGAAATTTTTATATTGAACATTTTCTTTGACTGATGTGTCCATTTCTTCTATTGTATCCTTAGTGCCTGACATTCTTTCTTCCATTTCTCTATTTTATTGGTGAAACTTGCCTCTGTACTTCTTATTTTTAGTCCTACATTTTTCATTTCTGGAGTAGCCTCAGTTTCTGTTTTCTTTACTCTTTCTATTTCCATTTGAGGTCTTAAACAGTTGTATTTGTTTCCTTCAACTATTTGTCTATTTTATATTGGCTTTATTTAAGTTTTTTATCTGCTTACTCCAATAGTTTAATTGTGCTTTCATAAATTTACTTGAGATTTATTCATTTTCTTTTTAAGGACGTCCATTATCTTGGTTGTATTTGGAGACCATAAGATGTTGAGATTCTTAAGCTATGAGGCATCTTTCATGGAGAACTAGCTGCAAAGAGAGAGATGAATGGGAAGTTGTGGGGAGATAGAAATCTAAGCCCTTTGAAAATAAAGCATGTGTCTGACACAGAACTACTAGATTTGGTTGTTGTCCTGCTGGGTTTTAGTCTTCCCTTTATCTTTCTTCACTATGTCTCAATTCCTCTTTGAAATGAGAATGGGTTTTCTGTTTCATTTGTATGTTGGAAAGATTTAACATGTTCTTTGTTTTTATACAATGACACAGTCAAGAATTGGTCTTGAGTGTTGAAAGAGATTTTGGTTATTTGAACAGTGTAAGGGCTGTTGCAGACTATGAGCATCATTGAAGTGACTAAATGCTTTTTTTCCATGGATGACCCTGAGCCAATAGTGACCTGGGTCAGGATCTAATCAATTGAATGATAAGTTCCCAGATAGGATGAGGAATGTGAACATGTGTCTCTCCTTGGTGACTTTCTTTGGGTTGCCATTGGAACCTTTAGTAGGAGGAATCTCTCTGGATGAAATATGTCATTGGTGGTTGTGATAGCCTCAACCAATTTCCTTTTCTGTTTCTACTAAGTTGTGGTTGAAATGAATCACGCAGCTTCCTTCTTGTGCTGTCATGACTTCATCACCAGTATATATACTGTCACTAAATTAGATAAGATACAACTGAATGAATTGATATTCAATGCTAAGCCATTTTTACTACCCTGATTTTTTTTTAATTCGGTAGTTTTTATTTTTGTTCCTGAAGGCAAACTTTGTCTGAGTAGCCCTGAATATTCTAAATGTAGCTCTCTAGACCAGGTTGGCCTCCACCTCAGAGATTCACCTGACTCTTTCTCCCACATACTGAGATTAAAGATTGGCCAACATTCAAGGATTTTTATATACATATTTTGTGTCATGGGCGTAGAGTATGTTTTTGTACATGTCAAGCATATGTTGTTTTGCTGCGCTTTACCCACCATCTTGAATTTTGAAATTTGCAGAGGATATCATTCATTTCTAGGATGCAGTATTCATGACAGAAATAGTGCCTGGGCCTTCTGAGTCATTCTGTGTGGCATTCTTTTTGCTTATTGTATTTGTTTTGATGTTCGTTAATGAATATGATTCGTTTTTCTGTATAAACGGATATCCACTACATGTATGCCTGGTCCTCACAGTAGACCCAAGAGAGTCTAAGAACCCACAAGCTTGGAATAATGAACAGTTGTGTGATTCCCCCTATCAGTACTGGCAATTGAATCTTTCTATATACAAGAACAGTAAGAGCTCTTAACTTCTGAGCCTTCTCTTCTTCCCTGTGTTGATTATTTATGAACAATATTGATATTTCTAATATTATCATCTTTCTATTTGTGAATGCTTAAATGCACAGTTCCTTTTAGTAAAATTTATTAAAGTACAGTTTAAAATGGAGTAATTCAAATTTCTGGAAGATGAATACAGAACTAGAGTGAATGCTTAACTCTTTGTAGGAACTTCAGTAAAACAATCTCTAGAGTTCATCTTATCTTTTTGTTTATTTGTTGGAAGTTTACAGTGCAGATGGGTCTTTAATATTTACTTCTTGCTGTCCTATAACTGACTACATAGACTAGACTAACTTTCAACTCAGAAGCACACATACTTTCCTCTACCTTCTAAGTTCTGGGATTAAAGGCATGAGCCATTACACCCAGCTTAAAAATCTTCTTTGTAGTTAGTAATGGTTCATGCAATTTCTCTGATGTGTGTTCGGTACTGGTAAAGTGTTTGCTTGTTTCTCTATCTTTGTTAATAGACATTTCTCTTGCAAGATGATATTCAATTCAAAGCATTCAGAAATAATAGATGTAAATTTCCTATTCAGTTTCTTTGTGAAGTAACTTGATGATTTCACTGTAATGTCTGAGTTATAGAATATGTGTAGCACTCACCAGAATTATGTGGCTATTTGTCAAAGAAGCATACATTTACAATGATGTATCATGCCTTTTGTTTTATTCATATGGATGACATATTTATGTATGACATATTTTAGAATGCAGTGACCTATAATGATGTGAATGTCAACATCAGTCAGGAAGAGTGGGCATTGATGGATCCTTCACAGAAGAATCTCTACAAAGATGTGATGGTGGAAACCTATGTGAACCTCACAGCTATAGGTAATACTATAAATTTTCCTTCACATTTTAAATAAGGGGACAACTGTTTCTTGGTTATTGATGCTCTTCTGCAATTCTGATTGAGAATGAGGAAGTGTGAGGTGAATAAATCACAGTTGGTTGTAAGGATCAGTGAATATAGTAATGTAAATTTTTCAGTTTCCTGTAACATTTCATACATTTTTCTTGTCCTGTATTTTAGACTACAATTGGGAAGATCTTGAAGTTGAAGAACATTGCCAAAGTTCTCAAAAACAACGAAGGTAATTTTCATGTAAAAGCTGATAGAAATGGGCCTGTAGATATATATATAATTTATCTGGAAGCTTTAGTGAAATGAAGCGGTGTAAATAATCACAGTTTAAAGTACATCGATGATAATTAAATGTTCATAAACACATGTACCTCAATGGTAGGTAAGTGAATTATGTTTGCAAGTCATTCTTTTAAGGAAGGAAAAAAAAAACCAATGCCTTAGCAGAAATCACCATTTGAAATATAACTTCATCAAATTATGCTGTACAACTGGCAATCCATTTAGTTTCATAGTTTCATATTACAAAAGATATACTCATTGAATATGTAATAAGAATATATACACAACCTTGTAATAAACAAATAGCCCATAGAATATTTACTCATATAGGTGTTCTGTCTTTTCTAATTTAAGTTAGATGGGTAGATAGAGCCAAGAGTTAAGGGGAGGGGGGAGTCATTGTAGAAAAACATTATTCCCTATACCACATATTGATGAAGAACAGAAAGTCCAACTGTAAATGAAATGTGGAAATATTCTTGTTTTTATTCTTTCTTTAATAGTTATATCATATGTCACTCTGGATACCAGTTCTATGAACATAAGGATATGGGAAGAAACAATGCCCATCTCTCAATTTCAGAACATAGAATATATGCAGTAGTCCCATGTTGAGTAAACTTGTTGAATGTGATTCAAGTTTACAAACAATTGGTTTTCCAGGTTCATTAAGAATAGATCAACCTATAGGGACACATGCAGGCAGAATACTGTACACATAATAAATAAATCTTAAAAAATAAAAAAGAAATAAAGGGACTTGTGTCCCTCTTTAAAAAAAAGAATAGATCAACAAATACACCACAGAAAAGCCCTATGGGTAATAGGACTGTCTGTGTACATGCTTCTGTTTGTCCTGGATAACTTTGAACATGTAGCATGACTCACAGTATAGGAAAATTTATCAATGGAATAAGTGAGGTAAATGTCCAAATTCTCCCAGTTCTCTTCAAATATGTGAAAAACCTCAGAGAAATATGATGCCATAAATATGAGCCAGGTCATAAAGGTCCTTACCATGACAGGCATGTTCAAATATGCAAAGCCATCCTTAATGCAGGGGAACAACATGAGTGTAAGCAACATGCTAAAATGATAAGATCTCAGTTCTCTATATATTTAGACCAATTGTAAAATTAATTCATGCCGATATAAAGACTCAACAATGTAATGAATGTGGTAAAGCTTTTAAATTTTTCAATTATTCTTGCAGGCATGAAAGAAGTCATACTAGAGAGAAATCACATGAATATACTGAGAGTGGTAAAGCTTTTGCATGTAGTCTTCCTTAAAGGCATGAAAAAACATATACTGGAGAGAAATCCTATGAATATAATCAATGTGGTAAAACATTTACACAATACAGTCATCTTCAAAGGCATGAAACTACACATACTGTTAAACAACCTTATGGATATAGTCAACGTGCAAAAGACTTTGCTCACTGGAAAGTTCTTCAACTACATAGAATAACACATCCGGGAGAGAAACCCTATGAATGTAATCAATGTGATAAAACCTTTACACAGCCCAGTCATCTTAAAGTACATAAAAGAACACATACTGGAGAGAAACACTATGAATGTAATCAGTGTGGTAAAGCCTTTGCACGACATAGTGCTCTTCAATTGCATGAAAGAACACATACTGGAGAAAAACCTTATGAATGTAAACAATGTGGTAAAGCTTTTGTACAGTCCAGTCATCTTCAAGTACATAAAAGAACACATACTGGAGAGAAACCCTATGAATGTCATCAGTGTGGGAAGGCCTTTGCTTGTAATAGTGTTCTTTGATTGCATGAAAGAACACATACTGGAGAGAAACCATATGAATGTAATCAGTGTGGTAAAGCCTTTGCTCAAAACAATACTCTTCAAAGGCATGAAAGAACACATACTGGAGAGAAACCCTATGAATGTAAACAATGTGGTAAAACCTTTGCACAGTCCAGTCATCTTCAAGTACATAAAAGAAAACATACTGGAGAGAAACCCTATTAATGTAATCAGTGTGGTAAAGCCTATGTTCGTCACAATGCTCTTCAATTGCATGAAAGAACGCATATAGGAGAAAAGCCCTATGAATAAAAACAATGTGGTAAAGCTTTTGCATGTTATAGTGATCTTCAAAGGCATAAAAGAACACCTACTGGAGAGAAACCATATGAATTTAATCAATGTGATAGAGCCTTTTGCTCAGCCCCATAATATTCAAGTACTTAGAAGAACACATACAGGAGAGATGCCCTATGAATGTAATCAGTGTGGTAAAGCCTTTGCTCAAAACACTGTTCTTCAAAGGCATGAAAGAACACATACTGGAGAGAAACCTTATGAATGTAATCAGTGTGGGAAAGCCTTTGTTCATCATAGTGCTCTTCAATTGCATGAAAGAATTCATAACTGAGGGAAACCCTATGAATATAAACAGTGTGGTAATGCCTTTGCACAGCCCAGTCATCTTGAGGTGTATTAAAGAACACATATTGAGGAGAAATCCTATGAATATAATCAATGTGGTAATGCCTAGTCACAACACAGAGCAACCCTGTAACTGTAAAACTTTTAGTGTGTAATTGGTATCTTTAAGCCTTTGAATATAACATTAGACTTTGAGGATCTGAAAAGAACTCATATCAAAGGAAATCTGAATATATATGAATTGGTATGATCTTCATCCAACCTACTTATATTCAATTACACAAGATTAATTATTTTGGAAAAAAATTAAAATGTGTCAATAATATGTTCAAGCATTATAATATCTTTTTATTTTGTTTACACCTGTCAAATAATATGGACAAAAGAGGGATTAGGGATTCAGCTCAGTGGTAGAGAGCTTGCCTAGCAGGCACAAGTCCCTGGGTTCGATCCTCAGCTCTAAAAAAAATATGGACAAAAGACCTATAAAGTTAAATGATAATATAACTCTTTTAGATTTCATACTTCTCTTCAAATACATGAAATAATGAATTCTGGTGTAAATTTTCACAGATGTGTATCATTCCTTTTCTGTTGCTTTGATAATAGACCATATCTAAGTGAACTTAGAAAAGGTTTTAATTTGGCCCTTGGTTCCAGAGCAGTACAAGTACCCCATAAAAGGGGCATGGAAACAAGTGTCACACATGGCAGCTAAAGCAGGCAGCTAAGAATTCACATTCTTGCCCTGCAGTATAAAACAGAAAGTGTAAATTAGAAATGGTGTGCAGATATAAATGCTCAGGCCAACCCTCACGACTGAATTCTTCCAGCATGGTATCATTTTCTAAATCTTCTCAAATGATGTCACAGACTGAAAATGAGAGATTACTCCAACTTCAAGACTGCATGCTTGTTTTCTGTTAAATGGACTAAGTCATTATGGAGAAAATTTCTGTAATCATTTAGATGCTTCAAAACCCATATTACCAGAATTATAATATAAAAAACATTCATGATTAAAAATTAGTTTAAATATTTGTTTTTATTTTAATTATGCTATATGTGA